GCGGTCGTAGTCTTGAGGCGTAAGTCGGCGGTTCTCCTTGACAGTGATAGTGGAGGTCTTGACAGACAACTCGGGTCGCAGAACGTTCTTGGTGCCGTAAGCCTCCTTGAAAGCAAGGGACTTGGCAGCAGCCTGCCAGTCACGGAGCTCGAAAGCCTCCTCAGCTTCTTCCTTGTCGTGGACGACGAAGCTGTTGCTCTGGATGGTAGCAGGAAGATTGGGGTCAACAAAGTCGGCATCAACCTCAGCCCAGGTGGAGGGAACCTCGAAATGACGGAGACAAAGGCCGACAGCATCCATGGATTCCTCCAGAGTAGGAGGGTGACCCTCAGCGAGGATGTGCTTGGCGATATCCTCAGGGGTGTAGTCAGGAAGAGCAACCTTCAGGAAGGACAACTCAAGTAGCAGCTTGGAGAAGAGAGGGTCCTTCTCGAAAGCAGGCGAGTAGGAAGAGTCGAGGATGAAGAGCTCAGCCGCCTTCTCCCGGAGTCCCTTTCGGAACGCAACAGGGAGACGCTTCTCAACCTCGTCATCCTTGGAGTTGGAAAGCTTGACAATGACGTTGCCACCCTCGACGAGACCCTTGAGAACATCAACCTCCTTGAGAATCTTCTCGTCACCGACGACAATGGTGTTGGCGTCGTCAATGTCATAGGGAGCCTCAAGGGCCTTCTTGGAGGCTCGGAGGTCACTGCGAACGAGACCGCCTTGGGTGAGGTTGTCAAAGATCTCGTTGACATAAACGTTAGAGGTAGATTCCTTGGAGAGGAGGTTGCCAATAACACTGGGAGAGTTGAGAGCAGAGGAGTTATCGAGGTCCCAGAAGGTGAACTGCTGAGCCTGAACGAGAGAAGGCAGCTTCTTGGCCTCGCCCTCGTTGTCAAAGATCTTGTGGAGAGTGTTGACCAGACCCTGAGGGGTGAAAGTCTGGGCAGGGGTGTACTTGATGTCAAGAACAGCAGGCTCGTTGTCGAATTTACCAGAGAAAGTGACAGCAGTCAGGACATCGCTGTAGAGAGCAGACTGGGTAGCCTCATCCTCAACAGCGAGCTCATCCTTGACCTGACCAAGGACTGCGATTGTACGAGCAGAAGCAGGGATGGCCTTGATGAAAGCCTCCTCAATGAAGGGGCGGTAAATTCGCACGTTGATGACACCAACCTTGGCGCCATCAGCAGAGATCTTTGCCAGAACCTCCTTGGCGACCTGTGACTCAACGCTGCCGAAAGCAACGAGGACAACATCAGGGGTCTCATGGCCGTGGTACTCAAACGGCTCGTAGATGGTGCCGAGCTCATCGTTGAAAAGCTTGAGAAGCTCGACAACCTTACCGGCGGTGTCAAGACGAGTGTTGAGCTTGCCAGCCTCAGCAGAGAGCTTGCTGTACAGGTCGGCAACACCGTTCTCGCTCAAAGCATCCACGACACGGAGAGTCTCGCGAGCGACGCGGACACCATCGTAGATATGAAGAGTAGGGAGAAGAGTGGCCAAGAGAGTAGCAAAGATGGACATGTGTTGAGCCTCATAGGTGGATGTGCTGGCAACAAGTCCAAGGCCGAGGTCCTCAGCAAGGCGCAGAGCAGAGTCGTAGTTGGAGATTAGACCCTTGCTGTCAGAGTAGTCGAGAGCGGCGACATGGGCGACGAAGGGGCTGGAAACGCCGTAGAGGAGAGAGAGCTGGTCGAGGGTTCCTCGCAGTTGCTGGAGGCTGCCTGAGGGCGCAACCAGGGACTGGGGGATGTGGCGCTTGGAGACATCGAAGTCGGGAGAGAAGATGTAACCAAGAGCAAGGGCACCGGCGCCAATTCGGGTCTGGAGAGGCAGAACCTCAGTTGAGTATCCGTGGATGTTCTTCTCGTTCTTGGAAGCCCATTCCTTGAGTGCGATATCGAGGTCGAAGGTCTCGGGAGAGTAAGAGAAGATCTTATCGGACAACTTGTAGGCGATCTGCTGAACGAGGAGTTGGGCGGTCACATAAGTCGGACCAGAGATGGATGATAGAGGAACCTGCTGGCCGAAAGGGAGGCTTGACGACAATTTGTTGAAGTCTGCCGAGTTGGTTTTGGCCAAAGGGGCCGACTCTTGGTGAGGCATCTTGAGGGTCTTTAGAGTCAATTAAGAGAAAGAACAAAACCCCGCAGTTGACTATTGACTTTCAAGTCAAAAAGATGGTCTACCGACTGAAACTCAAGTCGCTGGTTCTGAAGCGAAATGAGATACTTTCAGGGTGATAAAGACTGAAGAAGGGAGAGCAGAAGAGGTGGCGGAGTCAAAAGAGAAGAAGAAGAAGAACCCTTCAAAAGGCGACTCAACGGGGTAACCGTAAGGAAAGCCATGGCGCCGATTTACTCTATTTTCCCCTGTCTCTGCCCTTGAATTGGACGGATCTTGCTCGGTCTTGAGAATTGTTGATGCTTCGACAGAATCACGCAATTGAACTAGGCCGACTTCGGAAAGGGCTTCGATGTCGCAAGATGGGAAAGTGGGATGACAAAAACAGCCGCAACAGCTTATATGTAAATATCTTCTTCTCAGTGGTCACCATTTTATTCACTACCCCACATGAAAGACTGGTCCCCAATGGAGACCCCGAAATTCCGATCCCTCCTGCCGGGGACAACTTTTTTTCTAGCGCCCCCGATGGTCCGACCGGCACTCGGCGATCTCGCAATCGGTTGCCGTTCTTTGCTTGACCACGAACCTTAGCTAAGCATCGGAGGCAACATCGAGACTTTACTGAGTATCAGGACCCAATCAATTAACAGTGTTTAGTATTGCTTATACTACGTATGAGGTCGGCATATTTCAGTGTTAATGAGAGAGAGCGACGGAGAGTGATATTAGTCAACTTGATGAGTCAGCTTGACTCCGTGTTTCCAGAAGGCCGTTTCTGAACTCCTTCTACAGACGTATCTCATTCATACATTGATATCATCATTATTTCGAATAAGTTAATAGCATAGGGTGGCCATAGGGATTCATATCAATTTGATATGGCTCAGTGGTAATGAAATGACCTTCTATAAACATATATTTCACATCCATGACAGCTTGCCCAGGTCCCGATCCAGACATAATTAATGCGGAAAATAGATCAGTTTTCTTTATGTAGATAATAATACTGGTAAAAGACTGGATTGTGGGTCATCCATAAGACCTTTACCTTTGTGGGAGACAGAGCCATTCAAATGTAGACCAGTTATAAAATCGAAGATAACCGGAGTGCCTTGACATCGTGATAGTGGCATCGTTTTTCAAACTATGAGAAAGGGCATAAGTAAGACGGTAAATGAAGGCTAGAGAATATTTATTCTATTAAGCACACCTTTCACAACATATGGATAGTGCGGGATCTGCTAGTCTACCGACATTCTCCTATGAATATCAAATATACTTACCAATATATGAAGCAATCCGTACATCCCACTGATTACTGACTGGACTGAACATCCTCAGCCGTGATAGAGAGCCCAGTTATCACGACCGTCACTGTGCCTTTTTGAGATCTGCCGGTCATTCAGCCAAGAGGAATTTGCCAAGTCATATATGTTTGCGAGTTATGCCACGCCATGAACTGACGCCCGCACGTTAGCAAAGGCCCATGACTAACGTTGAAATATTCATGTTGTAATACGCTTGGCAAGAATCCGAGTCATGATCTAGATCAGAGGGCATTTGCCACTGAATTCCTTGTATGACTTGGCACACTTTGTACAGCTATTGTTGTTTATTATGATGTCCTGGTTTGTATTTTGTCACTCAAGCCCTGTGTAATCTGGGTAGGTGAGAGATATGCACACTCTTGTGTAACTGTGGTAGGCGTGTGATACCATGCGGCATGATTGTGGTCTCTGAATTGCTGCGCAACGATCTTGAAATGACAGCTGTTCATGGCGTTTGAGAGATGGGAAAAGAAGACCTTTCAGTTTGTTCAAGACTTTTGAGATCCTGAGCCTCTACAATAATAGGGACTGAGTCGTCGATATAACAAATACTAAAGATTGGTACTGTGGGTCTGATCATTGATGCCTCCGACGATAAAGGCAACTGCCTGCCATAAGCCTAATCTTGGCATACAATAGCTATTTGCATTGCGCAAGAGGCGGACTATGATGCAGGGAGCTACAAACGCTAGTTCCAATACTCAAATACGTCGCTTGGCAAATGGAATTTGCCGATGGTTGGAATACCAGTTTAGGTGCTAGAACACTCCTATTTAAACCTACGATGATTATCGGCAGGGTCAAACCGTGTCAGGCAAGACAATCCGGCTTCAAATTGTGGAGTACCCGGAGAATTTTAGTCCAATACTCAGGGTCCTGTATGCGTCGTGGTCTGTGTGGAGGAATGCGGCTTAAATGTCTGGACCAAACTACTGGGAAGTTATACCATTTCCGGGTTATATCCTCGGACCTTATTGGTCACCACCACAATTGCTTCACATAGGCCAAGGTACGACTCATGAGATGGATCGTCATCGCATCTCCAGATCCGTCTATCGAGGCATGGGCCAACTAGCCCTATCCGAGCTTAACTAGTCGGCCACTGCGATGCCATCGCGTGGTTTTCCATTGCTTCCTTGCCTATACGGGCCACCATCCGCCCGTTAATGTATGGCTAGAGCAATGGCCACGCGGCGCCTCCATTCTCTGGCCTCTGAATTCATTGTTCCTGCGTCAAAGATGGGTCCGTGTGGCGGTATATCTGGTATTTGACTACGACGAGGTGCTTGCTTAATCGTGTAGCTGGTCATGGTAATGATGCCTCGTCAGGGTCTCGTCCGTTTCGCCCCAAGAACCTGGCACGATGGCGTAGAATCATGGTTTGCCGAACAAGAGACTTCTAGTGCAATCTCTGATCCGTACTTAAGTCTGAAACAAGAACTTCCGGAGTAGAACTTGACCTTCTTTAATAACCAACACTCTCATTCATTATCAAGATACACTCTCTTCCCACCTTTCGTCTCTCCTTCCACTAGTCTTCACACCATCATTTGAACCATGGTTCAACTTAAGAGTTTCGCAGTTATTGCTACCACCCTCTTTGGCTGTTGTCTAGCAGCACCTACAACTTCTCCCGGCGTCGATAGTACAATCCCTGGCAGCTACATCATTACCCTCAAGTCTGCGATCAGGCCCCCTGCAGTTAAGGCTCATTTAAACTGGGTTGACGGCGTTCACAAGCGAAGTCTCGAGAAGCGTGATGGCGACAATGGTGTTGAGAAGACATTTGAGACTGAGGCCGGTTTTCACGGATACTCTGGTACATTCGATGATGAAACAGTCAAGCAAATTAAAAAGAGCCCAGAGGTAAGATATCTTGACCAGAATAACGTGTTGATGTCTAACAGTGGATTTAGGTCGCCCGTGTTGAGCCTGACCGTCGAGTCAAGTTAACATGGAACGCTTCCAAGCGTCAAGAACAACCCGTGGAACCAGCGCCACCAGCAGAAACAATAAGTCAAGAAGGCGAGGACACCGGAGACGAGGATGATGATGATCAACTTGAAAAACGAAGTGAAATCAACCAAAAGTCAAGCACATGGGGCCTCGGAACCATCTCACACCGCGACAAGGGCTTCCAGAACTATCTCTACCACAAGCCAAGCGGCTCTGACTCGTTTGCCTACCTTGTTGATAGCGGTGTCCGTATCACCCATAAGGAATTCCAAGGCCGGGCCAAGAATGGATGGACAGCTTTCCGAAAAGATTATGTTGACCGACTGGGCCATGGTACTCATGTTGCTGGGACCATTGCTGGAAAGACCTTCGGAGTCGCTAAGAAGGCCAAGGTCATTTCTGTCAAAGTCTTTCAGGGCGACTCCGCAGATCTCTCGGTTATTCTCAACGGCATCGAGTGGGCCGTCAACGATATCATCAAGAAGAACAGACAAGAGTTCTCAGTGATCAACCTTTCTCTTGGCATCGATGGTGTATCTGGAGCGCTGAACGACATTATCAAGAATGCCGCCAAGTCTGGAGTCATCTTTGTGGTCGCCGCCGGAAACCAAGGAACAAATGCCAAGACGAAATCTCCAGCTTCAGCTCCTCAGGCCATTACCGTTGGAGCCATTGACAAGAACTGGAGAATCCCAAGCTGGTCCAACTACGGCAGCTCTGTAGATATGCTGGCCCCAGGCGTCGACGTTGTTTCTGCTTCATGGCTCAGCGACAGCGGTACATACATTGAGAGCGGCACCTCGATGGCCACCCCCCATGTTTCTGGTCTTGTGCTGTACGCTCAGTCAGTGTACGGCATTACCGGCGTTGACACCACGACCAAATACATCAAGAAGTACGCTACCAACAATAAGGTTCTCGGTAGCCGCCGAGGTTCACCAAACCGGATCGCCAACAACAACAATTTTGCTCAAAGCAGATAATTCTCAATTTACTCAGCCGGAGTGCCACTAAAATAGAGACTGCGGACAAGAGAAATGATGAAGCAAGGCGTTTGGGATCGACATTAAGCATATACGGGATAGCGATTGTTTTGTTTTAACTTAGACTTCGATTCAATCTTTACCAATATATATCAATACCAGCTATTTTGGCCTGGGAGTCTTGATGACCATTTTATCCTGTGACATTTCTCTGATACAATCTTAGACCTTCTTATCCTTGAGTTGAGCCTGTAGCTTCTCGTGGTCAATATTGCATAAGTTTTCATCCTGCGCTCAGATATGCCTGCCATTCTCCAAACAATTCGAGGCTAAAAGTAGTAGGGGTTTTGGGGCTTGCCCTTTGTCTCTGGTCCGCTCAATACCCCCCTCAAGTCTGGATGGACACAGATGGTGATGGGCTCCTTGTTGATCAAGAGTGCCCTTTCGTCCCAGTTACATAGATATATGTCATTCCTGACGGGTCCTTCATCCACTGGAAGTATAGCAAGGGCGAACATATATTGATTTCTCCCGGATATTGCATAGCGCCCGACCAGACAGCCGGCATTAGTTTGGGATTAAAGCCTTTCAATCTGTCGTTGGAGTTACATTTGTCAAGCAACCGACGCTTGTTCCATCGTAGTCTGACACTCACTCAGGATATATATATATAGAAAAAATTGCTGCATACAGTCAGCCATACTAAGAGCGTCTGTAACCACCAGGTTTGAGAGGAGTATGAAGAAGGGTGGCTAAAGAGCGAATAGTGGACCGATCATTCCTAGGTAGTTTAGATAATGAGGGAATATCAAGCTAGGCCTTTTTTTCTTCTTCTTTTTTTTTCTTCTCGCTCATGCAAGAGATAAGAGATATAGAATAAGTTTGATAGGGAAATTCCAGTGTAGAGATCGCTGTAGAGACGTAACCACAAATGAAGCTTCGCAGACATTGTCCAGAAGCTTACACCGAAAAGTGGATAGAAACGGGCACTCTACTAGTTCGCGTTAGAGCAACGCCAGACCTGCACGGTTAATCGAACCCCCTGTATGGGTCTTGAATACCCCCAAGAGATGTTCTTTTGGAGGAAAGCCGCAGTCAGAAATCCGGCTCTACTAGCACCAATATGTGTTAAGATGAGATAAGACCTATATTCGCCGTGCAATTTGTGAGTCTAGAAGTAGCTCTTCATACTAGCCAAAGCAGAAACGTTGATGAGATTAGATTACTCAAACACGGATTTAACACTAGATCCTAAATCCGTGGCCCGCCATGGAGATATATCATGAGTTCCGACACTAAGCAATTGGAGTAAGCTTATTTCTTAGACCTGTTGGGACTTGTTAAACGATCAACCGCAGTACATCATCTCAGGTGCCCGCTCACATCTCATAGACCGGGTCCCCTTCAACGTGTTAATTTAATTCTTCAACTTTCCACTTGTACCCTAAAATTTCCAATCACTCTCAAACATCATGCATCTCATACTTACTGGAGCCACTGGCCTCGTTGGCTCCAGCGTGCTTGATGCTATGCTCAAATCGAAAGACATCACCAAGATTTCAATCCTGAGCCGCAGGCCAGTGCCGATGGCAGCAGATGATCCCAGAGTCAATGTCATCACTCACAATGACTTTACGAAATACAGTTCAGAAGTTCTCGATCAACTGCAAGGCGCCAAAGGTGTAGTCTGGGCATTGGGTATTAGCCAGCTCAAAGTGACAAAAGAGTAAGTCTGCGCTTTATCGTCAATGACCCAAGTTTCTGTAATCTGACATTGTGCGACAAAGTGAATATGTCACCATCACCAAAGATTTCCCTGTTGCTGCCGCGAAAGCCTTCACTAAAATATCACCTTCCAACGAGCCTTTCCGTTTCATATACGTTTCTGGCCATGGAGCCACCCTCGAGCCGACTTCGTTTACACCCATCTTCAGTCGTGTGAAGGGGGAGACTGAGAGGGCGCTTTCTGACTTACGTACGCCGACGAAATTTCACGTCGAATCTGTACGTCCTGCCGGCGTAGATGCCACAAATCATGAAGCCATTAAACCATACATTCCCAACCCTGGCATGCTCTACAATGCCATGTATTTGTTCATGGGTCCCCTCATGAGAACCGTACTTCAGTCGATGCATAGCCCAACGGAGAAACTTGGCCCTTTTCTCATGAACATGGCGATGGGCAAGTATGACAAGCAGTTGGATATTGGAGGAAACGACATCTCCAGTATAAACGGTTCGAGGATACTGGAAAATGTTGCGTTCCAAAGGCTGTATGAGCAATGACGGATCTTTGCAAAGATGGGGAGCTGTTCGGCAATGGAATTGTCGAGAATGGACTTGTAACGACTCTATGAGGGAAACAGTCTGTCGGCGAAGCTTTGTAGCCATTTTTGCTAAGTAGTGCTGTATAGTAAATTTGTTCTTGATCTTACCTTGCTTTTCGTGGTATCAATTGTGTAAAGCTTCACTATCGCACGCTTTATGCAATATTCTTTACGTTTTCATTTGGATCCAGCTGTTAATGAGAGCTTTATGGGCCCCAAATCAAAACACCGAGTATACTTTGAGAGGAGAAGTCCGGATCAACATTTCAGAATCCGCCTCAGTTTTCGTTTCTTGATAATATTAAGAGTCCCCTCTCCAAACATGATTTCGCTAATCGCGTTGTCGTGTTTTCGTATTAGATACAGCATTAAAAGTGCTGACGTACTCGACCTTTACTTATCTTTGGATTACCGCGGCTGGTGTTCGTCAAGGGGTCTAGAGGGTCTAGAAGCAACAGAAGCGGAGAACAGGTAGGTCAGCTTTATTACCTACCTAGATAAGACTAGGCTCAACAAGCCTCTGACATCTATTATATATCTCTCATGTCCCTATTTACTCGAGTTCATCTAGCCAATACTTTGTTTTGTAATTCTGATCTTTCAGCCTCTATTATTCCATTCTTGTTTTGTCTCTGACCCTCTCACATTGTGTATCGTCAACAACGAGTGCCTAAGGGCATACACATGTGCCTTACACATTGCTGTCCATTCTCTATGAACTTTTGCCTTTGAGCTGAGGCCTATGAGTTCTGAAGCACTTACCTTAAATGCCGTTCCTACGCCAAGCATCTTCCTTCCCCACGCAAGATGGATCACAGAGGCCAAGCTTTTTGCTCATCGGCACTTTCCCTGTCAACATGTTCTTGGCCTGAGTCATCACATTTATTACTCACATCGGCGTCCAACGAATTACTAAGTTCAAAGATCTTGATCAATTCTTTATCTCAACTACGTTATCCAACTAATGAATTTCAAAATTTCAACGCTACAACGCCGGCTATAAAAACTTCATCCATGGTTCATTCCTAAACCTTGTTAGAAGCATCTTTCTCGCTCTCATCAGCCTCCCGGGCGTTTTGCTCGACAGCCTCAGGCGGATCCTCGATCCTGGTCATTTTGTAGATGATCATAGATGCGAACAGATCACCGGAAACGTTAACAGCGGTACGGAAGCGATCGAGGAACCAATCAATAGCCACGATGACAGCATACATGTCAGTGAGCTCGACGTTGACGGAGCGAGCAATCATGATTGAAAGAACAAGTGAGGCCGAGGGGATGGGAGATACACCAATCGAGGCCAAGGTTGACAGCAGCGCAACAATGACATAGTCGGCAGGACCCAGGGTTTTGCCTTGCGTGGCAGCCATGAAGACGACGGCAGCAGGAAGATAGATGGCGGTGCTGTTGTCGGGTCAGTCTTGCACTATTGAAATTACAAGGCAGCAACTTACCCGTCCATGTTGATCAGACAGCCCAGAGGACAAGTGAATTTGTAGATGGTGGAAGGAATACCTCGGTCCTTAGCGCATCGAAGAGTGACCGATAAAGTGGCAGCAGACGAAGCAGTTCCCCATGCAGTGATCCAGGCAGGAGAGATCTTGAGCCAGTACGAGTAGGCATTCATCTTGGTGAAGGCGAAGAATATGATGGGCACGATGATCAGGATATGGATGAGCATGGTGGACAGAGTGGCACCGATGAGAAGACCCAGATTCATGCCGATCTCGCCAATGTCAAGCTTCATCAGGTTGGGCAAAATCAGGAAGAAAACACCGATAGGGGCCACCGCGATGAGGAATGTGATGATCTTGGTGATCATACGTTCAATCTCCTCGGTGACGCGAACGATGGGCGAGCGAGGGGATTCAATGAGGTATCCAACGATGATAGCAGTGATGATGACTGCAAGCAATTGGTCTTCGGCCAACGCCTTAACCACATTCGAGGGGATCAAAGAGAAGAACATTTCCTCCACGACCTTGTGAATAGGGCGCTCAGTGGTGTCGGGTAGTGAGTCGCTATTTTCTTCAGCAAGCGGGCCATCGCTGACCACCGAGTACTGTTTGGTCCAGACGAGACCCATCATGATACAAGACAGTGTGATGGATATGAGAGTGGTGATGATGTAGTATCCGACGGTCCATTTAGCTAGAAGAGAACCCCCGTTGGTCATCTCTCGGAGTCTGGTCACAGCGAGCAACATGGAGCAGACGATCAGGGGAAGGACTGCAACTGGTCAGCAGCCATTCTTGAGCGCAGAAGCTGCTGCTGGCTTCATGTCAAAAGGGAACCTACCAACTGCCTTGAGGGCTCTTAGCCACATGTTACCAATAATACCGACAATGACGGGAACAGCCTCCGGAATATCGTCGACCTGGGTAGCGACGACTACACCGATGCCGATAGCGAGCAGGGCGGCTACGATGATTTGAAGAGCTGAGCCGGGTTCTTTGAAACCATGCCACCAAGGCTTCTTCACAATCTCTTCCTCGGCATGATCGTGAGGAATGTCGTTACTGGAGTTCGTAGGTACCTGTACCGGATGTGCCTCGGGGACATCCTTGAACTCTTCTTTGGTGGCCATTGCAACAACAGCAAGCTTGGCTTGAGTTTCAAGGACTAGAGACAAGAAAGGGCCGTTGGGGAGTTTTGGCAAGAGATGAAATGGAGGCGAGGACTGGCACTACAATTCCTAGGCAAACTTCAAGAGCACGCCGCAGCCTTTATACCTCATGGCACTCCCTATCGCCAAGCCAAGCTGGCTACATGGGAGCAGATGCTATGGAGCATCAAGAGATTCTGTCAAGAGAGTGACACCAGGGCATGGATGAAGTGCCCAGAGAATCGCGTGCCGAAACCAGCAAAGATGCGACACATTGAAGGAAACACTCGAGCTTGGCCTGGCTAAGAAGAGAAGGTGAGCATTACGAAATTCTTTCTCCATCGCCAAGACGACAAGCATCAACTCCTTGGTCTTGATAACCTGGTGGCTCGGGTAAGCCGACCCAGAGTCACTTGTTGGCAGACATTGTGGAGAAAACCAAGGAGTACTGGTTGATTGAAAGTTGGGATTTGCCCGAGGAGGCGACGATGCCAAGAGAAAGTGCAAGCGGACGAGTCGTTCGAAAAGAAGAGCCAAGGGAGCCAAGAAGTCGAGGCACTATTCCAGCCCATAACATGTTGTACATTCTCCCCAAGCCAAGCCGCCACACACGACAGAGTACCATGCATTTACTGGGATGAGCCCCACGCCACAGAGATGGGGATTGCACAGACGGGGCATGAGTGTTGGTGTTATCTAGCCAAGCACGCAGTACGTCCTAAGATGTTGCATATTTTACGAAATACCAAGAGTGATAACGCAGTGCCGAGACCTGGTCAAGTCCCCGCGTATCTCAACGAGAGATAAGGTGTCAGGGATCCGGCTAGAGTGGTTGCTGCTGGAGATAACTATTATCTAGCCATGGTGGTTTTCTTCGTGAAGAAGCATCACGACAATCACAAACCACCAGAAGAGGATGAGTGATGTGGCGTGCTTAGGCTACTCGACTAGCGCTACTATAAGCGCAGGATGACTAACGGCATTACCTCGCGACTTAACTCAATTCTCGTACTTGAGTGGTAAATAATTTGTCTCACCATCATGCACTCCTCGGACAAGAGCACACCACAATAGGAGCTCTGGGAAGGCACGCAAGGAATCAGAAGGTACTTGGGGCCGGTGGGCTCGATGATTTGAGCAACGGCTTCGTCAATACAGGCCTATGATACTCTCGCTCTCAAGGCACCAGCTCATCAATTCTGAATCAGCGGTCTCCAACGAGCCCGAGAATGGGTATTTACGTCTCCACCTCAGGAGTTGAAGCAAGGGGTGGGACTCTGAGCTGAACCCTGGCATCGTTTTCTTGCACCCAAATTTGGGGGCTGCTCTCCGTGGTTTTGCTCTAACCGCGCTCTTATTATGGAGTCTATTGGGAGATTGCCCAGGAAGTCTCTGATTCACCTGGCGGCTAATTTTTGACCAGACATCCTCACCAGCTACTGAATGTCTCTCAGCATCAGAGTACATTACTTTCCTGTGGATATATCTTTTGCCCCGTTCTCTTGGCTGACCGTGTCTTGGGTCATCACGCGGACAATTGCTACGTTCCATCGAGGATCCATGCCACCCATTGCCTCGGAACGATCTCATGCAAAATCAAGACTTCCAACTCCTCTTTCTGGTTCCGAGACGTACGCTGTAAGGCATTGCAATGGCATATGGGGGCTTTTTGGAAGGCAGCGTCAGGAGATAACCGGGCATGACCATCCTTTACAATTGCCGCATGAGGCGATTAAGCATAACCGGACTCAGGTTCCGAACGAATCAATTACCGTAGAGGCGCTGGAAGGCAGAAACAGGCAACCTGTAGGATCGCGCTAAGTAACCTGTTTGGGGTAGTTTCCGTGCAAACGCTTGCTACCCCAAAAAGAAAAGGTTCTGGAAACTTGCTCAGAAAGGTCGACCACGCCTTATGTCGACATTCGGGGGTCGCCTGTATTTCGGTCAATATACGACAATGGGCAATTCCCCCTTGAGCGGTGCGCGCCATCCTCAAGATTCCGATACCTCGTTTCGTTTTGCTCCAACCCAGTCTACCAGTACTATATTCATCACAATGAGGGATATTTGCAGGTGGCCATGGGTGTTGGAGCCTATCCCTCTATAGATCAATGTCCGGCCGATGCTACGGCCAACGCTTGACACGGGCCATTTCACTTTGAAGAAATAGCTTATCTCCATGCGATTGAAGCGAATATGCCTTCACCCCGCAGAACATCGACTTATTACGTTTAAATATCCACCTGTGCCCACTGAATAAAGTAGGTGAATAGGATGGCTTGACTCGTCGTCAAAACTCAGCCAACTTGAAATTACCAAATGGCGCATTGGCACATTCTGTTTCCCTCCGCGAA